AATACAATACAATACAATACAATACAATACAATACAATACAATACAATACAATACAATACCCTGTTTGGGATAGCAATAATCTGCGATGACCACACGTAATTAATCTGCAAGGAGTTATTCTAGTTGTGACTGACTGTTGAACGTAGACTGAAGTTTCATGAAACAAGTGAAATTGAAACGTTGATTAGGCGATCGATTTGGTCGTGCATTAGTCTCACATTCGGTTGAGAGTGACAAAACGAACCGAATGCACAGATTATGGGTTAAAAACGCACAGATGGTCCGATGCTCCGGATCAGATAATTTCAAGGTGGTCAAGCGGGGGATAGATTAGGAGAAGCGATGACTTCTTATTGCATCTGAATCACTGTGCTGTGACACACAAAAGACTACTACTACTAATACTACTACCATATCCCCGTGTCAATGATATGTTCTACATGCCTACAAAGGCAGCAGATTGATTTCACGTATGCGAGCCGATCTCACAACAGTACAGCCCATAAAGCTAACAGTTCATCTCTGTGTATTTTATTTCATTCCAAATCCCTATTGTAGAACCATATATACGATACACCGCTCCGGATATAAAACCTATGTCTTTGTACTTGATTATGAGTTTCACTGTAGCTAAATAGGACTGAATAATAAACTAAGAACAATACAAGAGCCACAGAATGCATCTTTTTATGGATACATATTATGAGGTTGCAATGCAGAGTTAGCTAGGATGGTCAACTTACTTCAAAAATATCGGTCATTGCTGCATTAGGTTGCTCAAGTAGACGCCAGTTCTGCAATTTTATACCAAAATCTTCCGGTTTGTTTGCTATTGTATTGAGTATGATCGGAAACAGCTGACCGGTTGTCACGCTGAGCATTCTATCCGGGTCGATAAAGTGCTGTTCATACGTTTTGATGTACTGTTTCCCAGACGCTTTGTTCCAAGTCGTTTTGGTGACAAGCCGCGGTTTTCGAATCCATTCGTAAGGATCAAATGAATGATCTGCCTGTGAGATTTCGTCATCACTACTCTCTTCCGGTTGTTCTGGCTCCACATTTAACGGTGGTGGTATCTCAATATCAAATTTAGCGATACCAGGTTCTTCACCGGCATCCCAGCCCGGACATAAAGTGCATTTCAGTGGCCGATGAAGCAACACATACATGTCCCACACAAAAGATTGATCAATGGAATCCGAATGACTTGCTGTATCCGAATGGTACAAATAGCCATCCCAAATGTGTGTGATTGGGATCGCCAGGTCGATCGGAATATGCATTGGGTTGGATTCAGCATTTTTGACAAACAATTTTCCGAGTCGATCCAACCAGTCAAGCCTTTCTTCAAGCCATTCAGCCGTCCATATGGTTAGATTGCTTGACTCATCGCGCTGGTTTTGTTGTGCACTCAAATAGGCATCTATCTGTTGAATATGTGTATCCAGTGGATGACCTTCATAAGTGATACCCCGAGTTGCTTCACGAACCAAACGATGGTAGCCTAGAATGGGTTCTCTCTTGCGACATGGTTGTGGAAGCTTGTTGTTTTGCTTTCTCAGTGGCATCTGTCGTTATTCTAAGCAGTGGGTGAATGCAACACTGGAGAGCGAGAGAACCGAGCGTTGAGTGAGGCAATTCTCGAAAGTCACGTGTATTTGTTAATTCGAATTGCACGTTTCAGTTTTGCACTTTAGGTGTAATGAACGGTCCAGATTGGCCTGAAAAAGTTCGTTCTTATGATAAATCGATTGTTGACCTATAATGTGGTTCTTTCTGATCTAAATCTATATAAGTGACGAAAGGTTTTTAATGAAATAATATCATCAACCAGTTGCATACCAACCTTGGACTCCATGAGAATCACATTATGAGGCCAAAAGAGAGATACCATGTTGCCTTAATCAGATTATGTCATCAGCATGACCGAGATAAGGAATTGTTTGACAAATTCCGCTGCGAAAACATAACTCCCTGCCAACCCCAGTATGGGACCTGAAAATGTTATTCACCCTTTCACGTTTGTTGCATTTCTACTCAATGTGATACTCAATGTATCTCACAAATTTCTAAACCGCATTCCCAATCTGATTATCTATCCGATCGAGTAACCAGTCCTAATCCTTCGCGTTTCCACATACCCATCTAGTCATCATCAATAATTGTTTGATTATCGATAATGAATAGAACATTTGGCCTCCAGTTGTTTCAGTTCAGTTTCAGTTTTTACAACCATTAACCATGCACTTTCGTGCACCGGTTTTGGTTGCTGTCTTTTGGTTGACCATTTAGATGAGAGCAAAATGTAGGTTGGAATGTCGAAGCAAATTCAAGCGAAAGATGGGGAATTAATATAGAGTGATGTTAGGAGAATAACGAGTGGATGCACGAGCGCCAGTGTTGGCGACACCCAGCCATATCACTCAGTGTAGCTAACCATCGGTGACCATCATCCCGAGGTCCCCAGCCAGGGAGCCTAACGGGGCCTATGTGACCTAGTCTCCTGGTTAGGGTTTTCATACCCTCATGCCACGTCTTAGCTTGACCGCCCTTCGTTTTTTTTCCAATCGCTACCAGCCTTGGAAAAAATCGTTCGCCGTGGCAACCTATCTGGTGACATGCGTAGCACATGTTCCAACCAGCGTCATCTATGGAGGTCGATCACTTGCTCTAGTGAATGACCGCGACTGCCTAAATCTCTACGCCAAACCTCAACATTGCTAGTCCGGTTACCCCACCAGACACGTGCAATGCTACGTAGACAGCGGTGTTCGAACACCGACAATCT